GGCTGGAGTGTTGTGGGGATCGAACTACAGCAAACTGAGGCTGCCAGCATTGTGGAAGCAGCCACTTAAAGAACTGAGCTAGGGCTGGGCCCTTAATATTGCTTAATTTTAATTTTTGTTCTAAGATTTATACTGTATCTTTGACTTAGAATTTATTTAAAAGACATTGTATGATATCTTCTAGTATTAGAAACTTTAAAAAGTGTATCTCCATTTTCTGTTGACTTTAAAAAAAAAGAGGTTTGTACCTATAAAAAAAAAAATGTCATGTAGTTTCTCTCACATGAGAAACCCGAAGTATAAACTCAGAGGAAATTAAAGATAGTTTAAAAAAAAAAGGCAAGAATATAGGTCCTTTGTAAATGGACAGGGGACCAAGAAATGGACAGAGGACAAAGGAAATGGAAGGAAAGGGGAAATAAAAAGAGTAAGACTTATTGTGTACCTATACCAACTCCTCATGACAAACTTATCATTATGTACTAGTAAATGCAAATATGTACTAATAAAAATTTAAAAATTAATTAAAAAAATGTCGCAGAAAGTTTAAATAATGCCCAAAGCTTCAGAAGCTTTGATAGCTGAGTGGTAGGACCGCCTTTAGCATAAGTACAGTGTTGAGCAGAACCAGACACAGTTAATTGAAAAGTAACCAACCATCAAGGAAGTAAAAGTAAGGAACAAAGGGTGCTTGTCAGAAAGAAAAGCTATGAAGATTCCCCTATCCTAACTAAAAATAGACAACAGAAGCTTATTTGTATGGTGAGAGGAAAGAGACAGGAAACAATGAAGATACGGTACACACAACAGAGAAAAGTGTCAAGACTGGGATATAAAGCTGTGTAGGGATCTGTTGGTCTCTCGGTAGTCTCCAGGAGTAGATTGTGAGAGGATTTAGAAAATAAAGACAAGGTAATAGCTGAGGGCAGGTGGTGGACCAAACCTGATAGGCAAAAGTCCTCAGAACAACAGTAGCGGCATTTATTTATATCTTTGTAAGGTTGCAAGACACAAGATTTTAAGCAACTAATAGACCACAATGTCCCGGCAGGATGTTTTTGTCAAGACTGAGGTAGCTTGACTGCTTTGGCAATGAAGCTTCATTGTGCTGTCTCACATAGGATCAATTACCAGCTCTTGTGGCTCCCAAAAATGCTAAAATGGTTTTTTTGAGGCAAATACAAGGAAACTGCTTCCTCTAAACTAGATAAAGCGAGCTAGGTGTGGATGCAAGTTTGGCTGGCAAAGAAGAAAGCAAAAGTTTGAGAAAGCTCATGCTGGACAACATCAAAATGTAGACATAGTCATGGTGTGAGATAAAGGATGTAAGTGGGAGGGCAGGAGGGAAACACTCTTAAGGAGAGGAGGTATCTAAAAACTGGAGAGTCAATAGAGGCTACAACTTCAACAGCATGGGATGTGATGGACATCTCAAGGCACCAGGAGCATCAAGGGATTCATATTTAGTTCTTTCCATAACCCATCCACCTTCAGAAAGAAGCAACAAACTCGAAAGATTTTACTGACCATAAGAGAACCGACAGTGGATTAAATGTGTGTGCATGGGGGTGGAGTGGGCGTAACCAACCAAGTTCCACATTAAAGCTGACATGGATCATTTATATCCATGGACAAGTGTGTCATCTTCCTCAAATAATAGAATTTATCAATGGAATAGAAATAAGTCAGTCATGATTAAATTGTTCTCTTTTACAGAATCTTGCAAGACTGTCATGAGTTGGATGCTTCTCAGAGACCTCCTAAGTGGAGCAAATAAATATTCAACTGGGATTGGGCGCATTTGGCTGGCCATTGTATTCATCTTCCGTTTGCTTGTCTACATAGTGGCAGCTGAACACGTGTGGAAGGATGAGCAGAGAGAGTTTGAATGCAACATTAGACAGCCTGGTTGTGAAAATGTGTGTTTTGATTACTTCTTCCCCATTTCCCAGATCAGACTTTGGTCCTTACAGCTGATCATGGTCTCCACACCTTCTCTTCTGGTGGTTCTCCATGTGGCCTACCGTGAGAGTAGAGAGAAAAGGCACAGAAAGCAGCTCTATGTCAGCCTGGGAACCATGGATGGGGGTCTGTGGTACACTTATCTGATCAGTCTCATTGTTAAAACCGGTTTTGAAATTGGGTTCCTTGTTTTATTTTATAAACTATATAATGGCTTTAGTGTTCCTTTTCTTATGAAGTGTGATTTGAAACCTTGTCCCAATACTGTTGACTGCTATATTTCGAAACCCACAGAAAAAACCATTTTTACTTTCTTCTTGGTCATCACCTCATGTTTATGCATTATGCTGAATTTCACTGAACTAAGCCTTTTGATTCTCAGGTACTTTATTAAGTGCTGTCTCCAAAAACATTCTAAAACATTCAAGTCCTCAGTGTGTGAGTGCCATAGCCTCGGGTACACTGAATGTGGTGAGACTCGGGCTCCTCAGCTACTCCAGAATCATGGCCCTAGCTTTGACACAGATATACCCCCAAAAGGTGAAGCAAAGCTACTTTGTGACACAGAGGAGGATTAACAAAGAAAATCTGCACCTCTCCATGGCAAGAACTAAACAGGATTCACTGGTTGTAGGGCTCTATTATGTGGATACACAAGTTGTTTTTTTGATTAATTACAAATTAAACAAATACAATTAACATTCTTTCAAGAGTTTAGATGATAGAAAAAAAATTGTTAGTTCTCCATTTTTTGTTACTATCTCATTACAATTCATGTCAGTGAACTCAACAAAAAAGTGACCCTTCTGCTAAATATGGTGGCCTTTATATTGCCTTGGAAGCTGTGGTAGTCTTTCCAAAGTGGCAGCCAAGGCTCTTTGTATGCAGTCTTAACCTTTATAGAGAAAGATTATGGTATATCAGTTAGCTGGGGCCACATAGACCAGCTTTCAAAGACTCAGTACCCAGGACTCTGCACTTTAGGTATAACTGGATATACGCAGACTTGGGGAGAGGGAACAAAGCCATGATTTAAGAGGTGTCCAAGTAAAATGCAAATAGTACTGAGAGATATACTTAAGTCTCAACCAGCAGGTGTAACCCTAGAGTCATGAAGGAATAGAGGTCCTACAAAGAGTAGCACACTGAGAACAGAAGAGGACACAGAAACAATGTCTACTTGATAATCACTAAGCAATTCTCTTTAACAACAGAAACATGGAAATGTGTTGTAAATTTTGATATTTGTGGATCTTTTCATAATCAGTAATTTAAGATGTACTATAACACAACTTGCCTCCAATGCTGGGTGTGGTAGTACTTCTCTAGTACAAAAAAGTCTAGTATAGAGTAAATGATTTTTTAAAAGTTTACTATCACTTGTTTTGAAAACTAGAACCTTGTTGTACTTTTGTGTAAAACTCACAATGTCTCTGGCTTTATAAGTGTTTCTCTACAATAAAATGTTATTCTGTGATGCTCTCTGGCTGTCACTGATATCTTTACTTGGCTGCATTGAGTATAATTATTCTGTGAAATGAAACTTGCTCTGACAAATTTAAAACAAGATTTGCAATGCTGCTTGATAAAGACAACTAGGAATCATTGTTTCCTGGGAATTTCTTCACAGAGAGTCAGTGTATAAAGTAACTTTAACTAAAACAGATTATTCATACCTTCCATGCCTCACCCTCCTTACAATACAATCTCATTACAACTCACATACAACGAAGATTATGTGGGTCACTGTGCAGTCTACAGACCATGTCACCACTAGTAGTCAGAATCTCTGTCTTAAAGACCATTACCTGGATAACAGAGAGGAAGATGAACACTGTGGTTTTCCCTGTTCTTCAGTTTGTATCCCATATCATTGTTGGGCTTAAAAGTTTACAACTACGTATTTTACCACTTAACTTGCAAACTTCTAGTTTCACAAATACAGGTAACTATGGAATTAAAAACACTGACAGATGGCTAAAGAGGTAAAAGGGTTTTGAGACCCAGACTTGGTGTGGAATTTAGAAAACATGGTTTAAGGCTCAGAACTGGGATCAAGACAAAGGACTTTTTAAATATCCAGGATGTTTACTGCCAAAAATGTCTTCAGGAGTTCAGCCTACTCTCATCACTTACTACAAGCCCTGCCCAGGCCAACAGCGTCTGTGGCTTAAACATGCACATTCCTTGTTTTTTATACTCCGTAAGAGAAGACACTGGAAGGTAATGAGGAGGGTAAAGACAACGACTATGTTCACAGAGGAAGGTGAGTCATTTGCACTGCAGGCTTCTTGGCACTTTCTCAACTGACCAAATGAGCTTTCCGTAACACCACTCTGCAGGATGACTCATTGCCAGTAAAGCCCCCAAACATTTGATTAAGGTAAGCTGTCAGTTCGTTTATGTCAGAATGATTATCAGTTGATTAATATTCATTAACCACCAGGGAGCATGACACTGTGCTCTGCACTTTCTGAGATGTAACACTTAATTCCCCATCAACAAAATAGCCACTTCAACTAAAATCATGGAGAAGATAGGGTGAAGTAAGTGTCTTGACTGCTTGGCACTTGCCCGCAGTCTTTGTGACCTTAACTCTGACCATACGGTTTGTTCTAATAGGACTTGGTGGGAAAGTTTTGCAGTGCTTGTTCAGAAAGAATGTTTATTAGCTGTAAGTGATATGGTTCCAGTTTTGCTGGGGAAGTGAAGCCAATGCAGAAAGACAATGAAGATAGGAAAGGAGTGGTAGGGGGGAGATTTAGGATATTTCAATTCTTTAATCCTGTTGACTCAAAGCCTGGCTTCACTGCTACCCTTTATCTAAAAGATCAATTTATTTTTGTTTAACTGGTATAAGTTATTTTTCTGTCTTCCAATAGTCAGCTCTATTAAAATCCCTTCTTCATAAATTTTATTCTTTTGTGATACAAAAAAGGGATAAGACACATCTCTTGCATACTTCCTTTGTAACTACGCCAATAGTTCTTTGTCTAAGTGCAGGGCCTGGAGTTTGATTCCCCAGCTCCACATGCCATGTCAATCCCATGCCTGAGCGTGCTGAGCTGGCCACCAAGACGAGGCATGGTGGTACACACCTGTAAGCCCAGCGCTGGGAAGGCTGCAAACAGGAGGGTCACTAGAAGTGAAGCATACTTACAGATGTTTGTGGAGGATTCCAGAGATGATTGGTGTGTGGAACAGTAAACTAAGACAGAGAGACACCTTGCATGCAGGCAGCACCATGCATTAGCACTGGGGCCAGGATGAAACAAAAGAGGAAGAAGGAAGCCAAGCTCCCATCCTCCGGCCAGGAGGTGAGCAGCTTTTGTCTGTCACCTCTTCCATGATATTGCTGCCTCACCAGAGACCTAAAAGCAATGAAGCCAACCAACCATAGACTGAGACCTCAGCAACTGTGAGCCAGAATAAATGTCTTCGTAAGTTGTTATTCCTAGGTATTTTGTCACAGCAACAAAAACCAAAAACTTTGGATATACATCTGTCTATGCAATATGCAATAAGCAATAATTTCCACAGAAGACTGTGGAAAGATCTCAATACAGGACACAATAAGGAAAAGTTCCCTCATTTTCATTGTTTCACATTACATGTTTTAAAACTGTCATAATTTAAAAGCCCAATGTCCTATTTTTCATCATACCTTGTCCTATCACATATATGTAATACTTTGTGTTAAATACTGATACCAACTTATTCTTTTTGCTTTGTGAAAGTGCTTTAGACAAATGTTATCAGGCCTTAATAGCTTTTAAAAAAATTGATGAAATGGTGGAACATGCAGAGATAAAACAATTCCCAGCATTGTTTTTTTTTTTTTCCTATTTAGTACAGGGTCTGCAGTGTCTCACTACACAGATCGAACTCACAGTGATCCTCCTGTTTTCAGCCTCCCAAGCACTGGGATTACAGGTGTGTGTCACCACACCTGGTCTCATTCACTGTCTCCAGTGTGCCCTGGGGGCAGGGCCAGCACAACACACCGGTGATTGAACTCTAGTCCCTTGTGTCTGCCAAAGCAGGTGCCTTAATCTGCTGAGCTACCTGACTGGCCCTTGATAACATTATTTTTAAAACACTATATAAGGTTATGTGGAAGTAGCCATGTGACTAACAAGAGGTGTTTTGGCTGGTGCTCTGATACATGTTACTTAAACCAAGAGTCTGACTTAGCCTGCTCCTGCTTGAGACATCGTAGTTACTGTTGCAGTGAACATTCTTGTCACAAGGTACCTTTGAGGATGGGAGCAAGACCTTATAAAGGTGCAGAAAGAGAGGCTCCTGGGGTATTGATGTCATTAAGGAGTTGTCATATCACCCCTAAGTGCCTATTTCTTATCTGCTTTTGTCATGGCGAGACTTACCTCTTACCTGATATAAGTCATTGTCTGTTTCTTTCATATTAGTGTTGCTGATTTCTTTCATATTAGTGAAATGGTGAAGACACAGAAGGGATTCTTGTATCTACTGAAGACACAACAAATGGTCAGTATAATGGCAAAGTAAAGTCAGATGAAATGGAATAAACAATCATTTTATAGAAATCATTTCAATATGAGACCATGACTGATACTATTTTACAACATAATATCCTTTGAGTTTTAACTTTTAATCACCTTAGATAAGTGCAGCATAAAACTGTTTTTTAAAAAGGCAAGTTTAAACCTATATCCACTTGTTTGCAAACTATAGGAAATCACCTTCCTAATGCTTGAAAGACTAATAGCTTATTTGCTGCTGCAAAGTTGCAATGGATGAAAGCCAGGACCAATGCTTGAAAAATCAAAAAAGGTTTTGGTTTTATAACCTGCCTCAATGAAATGATCACCAAATAAAATAGTAAGCTCTCTAACACTGAAAGGAATCTTACATATTTGTGAATTAATTGTACTAATGGTATAGCTAGATAACTTGTAAATTTTTCTTTAAGACCCCATGGTTTTAAACACCTATAATGTATATCAGACAATGGCAAAATGAGACTTTTTATCAACTATATCACTACATTAACCCAAATCCATGCAAAAATATTTAATAGAAATATCCTTAAATTCCCTGGCAAGTGCAAGGGTCTCAGTTGAATCCCTGGTTCCACCAAAAAAGAGTCTGTGATCACGTTTTGGGGGAACAACCTGCTTGGCTCCCCTCCTGACCCTTTCTTGGACAGGAGCTTTGTTTCCCTCAATAAATATATTCTGCTCATAAAAAAATATCCTTAAAGAACAAATTACATGTACAAAATATCTCATTATAATAAACAATGTAGGCAGTTTCACAAAATCAGGTCTAACATGATTTATGTTCTTTTTTTTTAATATTTATTTATTTTTATTTATTACATTTATTTATTGTGTGTGT